TACCTCAACCAATTCAGCCTACTTTGAAAGCATGCAATAATCTTGTAAATGTCACTATATGTTTTCTGGTGATAATGACTCAGTAAGTAAAACCGTGTTTCTAAGAGGTGGTGTTTTAAAATGTTGCTGGAAAATGGGATTTATAAAGATGTTACTATTAAAAAGTGAATTAAGATACTTGAAAGTTTAAACATACTGCATATGCTGCAGTAAGTCCACATGAACTAACCCTTACCTTACAGAGCGGTGTCTAAACATTTGAAGCCTTAGTACAGAACACGTGCAGCATAAGTATCAGCACAAGTCTATTTTAAAAAAATACCTTCTTTCCAAGCTGTCAGATTTGCTGGCAACTTTAAGTGCAATTAAATGAGTAACTAAATGACCTATACAATTTCTTTTAGAGGTGTACATAAAAAACCAGTTATCTAACTAGGAAATGTAAGATTGAAATATCCGTTATTTCTAAAATTACAACAGAGATTTGAAAAGAAAATACTAACAACTGATAAGTTTTAAAGCTTTGAATAAAATTCCTCCCCTGGTTAATTAATAAATGTGAATAAAAATATCCTCGAAAACTTGTTTTTTGATAATTCTATGTATGTACTTTTAACAAGTGATGATGCTTCTCTTCAAAGAATCCATTAATTACCTAATGTTCTAATGAAGGAAACGAAAACTGATACTTAACACTTTCTGTGAAGCATTTATCTATCCACCCAGGACAACATCATAAACAAGACTTTTGTATTTTATGTATGGTGTTGCTGTTCCAACCTAAAAGTAAAGCTGGTTTTGAAATACAAGATAGTTTTCCATCTCAGCAAACTAACCAATGAGTGCCCTTTTGTTTTTATAAATCAGTAAGAGACTGTTGATTACAGATAACCATCTTGATTTCGGGGTCTTTCAAACACAAAGACCAAATGGTCAAACTCTTATTTTACACAAGTTTAACTACTAGGTATTAGCCAAACTAATTTGCCCTACCCGCCTTGTGGAACATAAACCCACCCACAGAACTATTTCAATGAACACAGGCTGTGTCTCTAACAAGAAGTAACTTACACAAGCTCCAAAAGCAGTGTTTAAGTTTTACTTTTAAAATGGAGAAGCCACACATTTTAAAAGTAAATATAAGTCAATCAGGTATAATTTTAACCTAATAAACCATGCATGAGCCAAGAGTTAATAAACCAATGTGTTTTGAGTTTCTTCAAGTACTGATAATTCTGTATAAAGATTTAGTATATATCAGCTATCATAAGATGTGAAAAACAAAATTTCAACTCCCCAAATAAAAATATATAGTTAAAATACACAGTGGTTAGTATTCCACGCAGCATAAAATCTGGTAAATGAGAAGTTTACATGTCCCAGCTGACCATGTGTGAAAATGCAAAGCAGATATTAAAACCAGTATTTTGTCTAATATTTAAAACCAGCTTGTAATTGAGGGAACATCTAAATCCTTAATTAAAAAACACAAATGAAGTGAAAGCTTTAAACTGGTACACACTGTTCACACCTATATTTCAAGTTTGGAAATGCATATTTGCAAGCAGCAATACAAAAGTATTCATGAAGAATGCATAATCTCTGAAAATTATGAAAACATCCCTGCTACCAATACATTTCTAGATACAAAACTGACTAACATATTTGTTACTTCTGTGTAGCTAGAGAAGTTCGTTTTCAAAACAGATAAAATTCAGTCTTTAGGTGTGAATGGTATGAATGACAGTCTTTTTTTTTTAATTCTTAGTTGTTTGGGATCCTTAAGCATGCAAAAGCTTTGAACAGGAGGGTCCGCAAAGGAACCAGTGTTGTATTATGGCATCCAGTTAGGCCAAAGCTGGGAATGCCTCTGGGTCATCTACATCAGGAGCAGAAGCACTTGACTGAGGAGAAAAACAAAAAACAAAAAATTAACCACAATTTTCAAATCTTAAAAAATAGACTACTAGCCTATATTTGGGCACTGAATTCTAAAAAGTCTTCAGGTTAAAACATCACATAAAAATAGATCGAAGCTAAATAGATCGAAGCTTTTACTTTAAAAGTAAAATTATAAATCAGATTAAAACTATGTACACACCTGCAATGTTTCTCCAATTTAATTATCTGACTTGTGAGGGATCAGGTGCGGAGCTTATATATTACTGGGTTCTACCACAGATTGATACATTTCCGCAACCCCCCTTAGACAAGATTTTTGCCAATCTCAGCACTTGGACAGCAAAAGTCACTTGGCCTACAGTGAGTTCCAGGACAGCCAGAGCTGTCTCCAACACCAAAAAAAAAAAAAAAAAAAGAGAAAAAAAAAAACTAAAATAAAATGCATATACCATGAATTCAGGATTCTATGATTCAATTTACAAAGTGGACATTATAGTTAATCCCTAATATTGTCAACGGGCAATTCTGAATTCCAATTCCTTGGGCATCACTCAAAACCCTCATTAAGAACTTGTCTGAGAGCCAGACATGGTATAAAGACCTACAGTCACTCACAGTCCTTTAGAAGAGTGAAGCCTGATGGTCAATTTGGGAACAGTCCTTTAAAACAAAGAGAACCAAGGCCAAGTGTAGTGCATGTGTTTAATACCAGCACTCCACAGCAGATCAAAGAGTTCAAAGACAACTACATAGTTCAGAGTTCCAGGCCTGCTGGAGCCACAGATTAAAACTGTAGCAAAATGTTGTTTCTTAAAAAATAAATCACTTGGGGCTGGAAAGAGGGCTCAGAGGTTAAGAGCATTGCCTGTTCTTCCAAAGGTCCTGAGTTCAATTCCCAGCAACCACATGGTGGCTCACAACCATCTGTAATGGGGTCTGGTGCCCTCTTCTGGCCTGCAGGCATATGCACAGACAGAATATTGTATATATAATAAATAAATAT